CCCCAAAACCCCAAAACCCCATGTTTGAATTATTGTCATTTTATTAACTTTTGTAATAAAGTGTCCTTATAATAAAAATTAAATGGAAATAACATAGCTTAAAGCTAAACTAATTGAGCCATTGCCAGTTCCTGAAAGAAAATTAAACTGAGTCTAATCTGCCAAAAATAGGAGTTAGAATAATCTTATTGATCTCAACTATAAATCTGCAAAATTAGAATAGTAAGTATGAAAGGAGCAGGCAAAAGATAGAATCCTTTAGAAGTAGTAAGAATCTGATTAGAAAATTTTGGAATATAACAAAATGAAAAAATCATATAGTCAGAGAGATATAAGTTCTAACTATATATCAATTGGTTTTAATAGTCCTTGCAAAGATAAAAATAAATCAATACCTCCAATTGAAGTTTAAAATGGCGACTTATTAAGCAGAAACGCAACAAACTACTATTAAGAAAAAAGCTCAAGACTTTTAAAAGAAGCAATCCAGATTAATAAAAGCGTGTAATCGATTACTCCCAAACATCAACTACATTTAAAAGATTATAACTCAAGTTTTGAAAAACTCAGAATAGAACTTACTCACAGTCATATTTAATCTAAGAGAGATAGACTTGATTAGGAAGAAGATAAATTGAAAAAGGAAAAGGATCATAAAGAATTACTGATATGTAAAAGTTAAAGAATGGTTAGAGATGGCTTTACGAATTTCGACATCATAAATTTTTCTAAAAAAGAGTCTTTGATGCCTTTAAAGCAAGAGAAGCTCGGTAAAAAATTTGATTATAATGGAGGATAATATCACAACTATCAAGCAAGTTATCTGAAAAAGATTGAAGATAACAAAAAGACTTTCTTTAGAAATAGTGGATTGTGTGCCTAAAGAATAAATAATTGCTAAAACCACTATTTCATTTGTAATCCGTTGAAGAAAGTTTGAATAAATTTATAAATAACTGAACTATTGTATATATATATATATATTATCTTGATTGGTGACTTTTTAATGACTTTCAATTATTAAATTAATGTTAAATATTTCAGAACCTTTACATTTATATAACCTCATATCATTCAACTTTTTTCAATTTTCAGCTAAACATTAAGTTGAAACTTCTATTCTTACGTGAGTAAGGATCATCAACACCTCTATAATAGCCTGGTCCTGGAGCCATTTTCATATGCTATTTATCTAAATAGGAACCGTATTCAAATCTTTTACTTTATGTGAAATAATCATGATTCCCTTTCTTAGACTGCATTGAATTTTTTTCGTGTCCATTATAGTATCCTGGCCCTCTAATTGGTGTCAACCTGTCTTTATAGATAATATCTAATGAGGATTCAAACCTACTTATTTCATGCTTTTTTACCTCAGTTTTGTCATTTTGTCTTAATGATTGGACTTTCCTTGAGCTTGTTTGAATTTTACTTTTATTTGTTGGTGTCTCTATTTCATCATTTCGCTTTGCTTAATTATACTTTATAGTTAAGACATCTGGATTATAAGAACCTACTGGAGGCGAGTGATGCAAGACTGGATCAGCTATTCTTCTTTCAGTATCTTGAGCGAGAAAAGAGGCACTGCCTTATAAGATTTCATTTTTCTTATTTTAAAGAGCTTTCATAGATTTTTCTGGTTTATACTCACCTGGGCCAGGAACTTGATTATCTCTTAGGACGAATCTTTTCTCAACAAAACCAAATGGTAAAATCATTCTATTATATGATTATTGGTCTTTTGTTGCTTTGACTCCTTAATCTGTATTTTTGTAATGGCCTGGACCAGGTATTCCTTTGTCTCTAGTATGAAACCTCTAGAGCTCAGTATTGAAGCCAACAGTTTTGAACTTATACTTCTATTTACCTATCTCTTCAGGGTTGTATTGATAGTAACCAGGACCTAAATTTTGTTTAAGATCATTATCTTGATCTTTTGCTAATTGAAATCTCTCAACTTGGGAACCAAAAAATTAATACTTAGAATTCTTAAGCTATTTCTTAAATGAAGTATTTAAATCCTAACTTATATATGAACCTGGCCCAGGAGAGACATGCTCTAATAATGATTCTATTTTTTGCATTTGATCTTAATCTAATTCCTCTTCTTCTTCGATTCCCTGTTCTTTAGTATTCAAATTGGTTAACTTTAAAGTAATTATTTAACTTTAGTCCTTAGCAGATTCTAGCTAAAGCTAATATGAGTTTTGACTTTTAATATCAATTATACTATTTGAGTTGCGGCTTCCAATTCCATCAAGCTGTGAAAATCTTCTTAACTAAGTGTGAAGTTTATTCTTACTCTTTGATAAATTATTAACACTTGAAGTTCTTTTTGTTTGAGAAGCAAACATAGATGATTACTAATTAGAGTTATATTTATAGGCTGGTACCATAACAGGCTTTAGCAAATCATAACTCCCTGGTCCAATCACTTTACTCTAAATATCCAGTTCAACTTTTGTTCTCTTACTAGTGTCTTTAATATAAGGAATTATATTATTTCTAATCTTTCTAATTCCATCAATATTTTAGTATGCACCAGGGCCTAGTTTATCTCCAAGTTTTTCTGAGTTATTTTCCTCCATTAATTTCAAGGATACTACATGATACCCGTCATCACCAACTTTATATCCAAATCTAAAATCACCAGATGGAATTGAAGGTGGAGAATGATGTAACTGTGAAAGATTCTATGTGTTATTCTTGTTTTAATCATCAAGGAGCCTGATATTATTCCTTATTTAGGACTAAGCTCTTAAAAATTATAGATTCTTGCTCTATCTTAACCAGCTAGATTTTTCTAAATCATATTAACCAGGACCTAAATTTATTCCATCTTTGCTTTAATTAGACTCAAATTTATAGTTAAACCTGGCTTCTTTGGAGTTGAAACCAGGTTTATTCTTCTACAATTGCAGAAGAATATTTTCTACTGTTGGATTCTGATATAAATTTCAACTGTCAAATCCCACACTAACTTTATATTCTCCTGGGCCTGGGTTTTTATTTGTAACTTCAGAGATTTCCCTCACTTTTGAAGTCTGAAATGGCACTAGTGATTGTTTTGTATTAGAAAATTGCTTGACTCCAAAGTATGTTCCTGGACCTAATTAAGGATTAGTCTAGTCTTCAAAGTGCTTCTGTGTTACATCATTTGGATTGAAGTTTAGCACTCTTTCACTTTTGCATAAAAATGCCATTTTATTAAAATTTATTAAAGAAATTAAGTAATCTCATTCTCTTTATTATTTTAACAGCCTTAAACATACTTTTAAATATTATTAAATATTCAAATCATCAACCTCTTTCTCATTGAACACCCATGTATACTTCATTAGTAGTTAGGAAAGATTTTGAAATAGTGAAATCTCTTTTCTTACTTTTGTTCTTCTTTCGTTTGGTTCTGTATTTTTTCTTCTTAACCTCAAATATTGGATCATTAACATCTCCACTGATATGGCTTCCCTCTTAGATAGCATTGTGACTTGAGTTATTCAACTGTTAATTGGCACTGCTGATATTCTTGAAATGATGTCTCAATTAAGTTTAGGAATGAGACATGCTTTAAGCTCTGCTTCCAAATTTGGAAGTTATTTTCGATTCAGGATCGTCTTAGATTGGCTATAAATAGCGTCTTTAATCTTAAGCCTTAGGAGTTTGATAGGTTAATCTGGCTCTTTCAACAATAGAAGAAGACTTGGGCAAAAATTCATGCTTTGAATAGATATTCTTGATGCTTGGCAAGGAAACATTCATGCTATTTGAATCTTTGTTGGAATGAATTGCACCTGACTTGTTTTATTTGATTTTATTTCTGGTCTTTTTCTTTATAACTCTTTCTTATTAATCTTCATGCTAACTCAAATTCTAAATTTAGTGTAGGCGATTATCTAGTGATTTCGTGATGATATCATTCTTTAGGAGGAAAGAATTGACAAATTTCTTATATAGAGATTCCTTGTTAAGGGCTTTAATCATTCTTTCTCTGTTTTAGTCTGCACTTTCCCTCACAATATTTTATGTTTAGTTCATTCTAGGATTGCTTGTTTAGTGGTGACCTAATTTGGGTATGTGTGACTTGTAATGCCTATGTCCTCTGATAAAATCAATTTCCTCGTCTTCAGTGTTAAGTTACCTCAGATATTTACCTTTCTTGCTATGTTTTTTTTCCTCACTATCCTCTTTAATCTTAATTTCCTCTTCTTATAGAGGACTCAAGATAACCTCATCAACATGAGCTCTGCGTTTGATAATAATACTCTTGAGTTTTTCCTTCATGTCGTTTTTAACAGTATTTGCCTATTCCAAATGAGCGAGGTCTGATGACTGTTGTAACTTCTGCTAAAGTGAAACTGTATTTTTTATGTAATCACCAATATTGCCACTCATCCTGACCATTGAGTTACCACTTATCTAGGATATTTGATTAATGCCTATTGAGTTTCCACCCTCCTCAATAGCACCTAATTTATATCTTAGATTTTCCTAAAGTAATCTTTAAGCTTTTGAAAGCTATTGAGATCCATCCCCACCGTTATTAGTATTGTAATTCCTGCTTACTTAAAAACTAGACAATTCTTCTCTGTTGTTGAAACTGACTTTCCTACCTTTGATCTAATTTCTTGTGACACTGCTTCCTTTAAGTCTTTTTACATTATATGGACCAAAATATTTCTGTAGCTTATTAGTTTGAGATCCAGACTCCGGAGATTTTCTATTACTAAGCTAACTTTTCTAATTTTCAATGGAGGACTGATGCAAACTTGCGTCATCGTTTCACTTAGAACTATCAAATATCTGAGTATAAAGTCTTATCTTCTCACTTAAGGTGTTGAGTTTGAGATAGAATGGTGAATACTTCTATATTTTCTCATAGACTGAGGTACTTAGTAGACTCTTTGCGTTTTCCCTGTAAGATTTCTCTAGTTCATCCTCGTCTTCTTCTCCTTTTTTACCTTTTTTCTTTCGTTAATTAAGTTCATCATTATCTTCTTATCCAGCTTCAACCCTTTAGTTTCTCAATGCTAAGTAGCCCTCTTTTCTGATGGAATTCATCAATACATGCCTTAATTTATTGCTACTATTTTCAGTTTTCCTCGAATCTTATTATCTCGCTCTCAAAACTTCATGAGGGTAGGTAAAAGCACTAGAGCATACTAGTATATATTGATTAATATTGATAGTTGTAGAACTTACATTTAGATAAAATAGCACTGAGGAATACGTAGCGTCCACTTAATTTGTCCTCATCTGGCTAAAATGTTCTCTTGAAATATAACTTTGATTTTTCATAGAGAGGGAAGTAAATTAGAGCGTGACTGATTCCTAGTATCGAAGCTGTCAAACCAGAGAATAAAGCTCTTGCTCCTTCCTATAAGGTTTCAAAAATAAACTATAAGTTACTTCATGTCTTATTTTGTTTAGGGAGTGAAATAGTCCTTGGTAAACACGCTCGTAATGCTCCTATTACGCAGATCGAAAAATTTCAGCTTGCATTCTAGTGCGAACAACCCAGAATGGATTTGTAATTATGTTACAGATCAAACCGCTAATACCAGCTGATGCCGAATAGAGTTTAAATGAATCATCTTGCCAACCGTAATCTTCTTTGAATCTTAACTTCGTTGACTCGTATAATGGGAAATAAATTGTATGAAAGAGCGGAATACAGAAAACTGAAACCTAATAACCTATATCGCAAATTTATAAAATAAAAAGATGTTTTTACCTCTGTACAAGCCCCTGAATCCTTCTTCTTAAATTATCTTCTTTAAAGATAAGACTCCATATTTTTCATGGCTCATTTATCCCTATTTCATAATATAACTTGATGTGATGAAAAATGAAATTTTAAAAAGAAAGAATAGTTCACTTCTTACCTGAATCTGTAGTCTTGTTTTAAGAACCTCTAATGGAAAACAAAATGTAACAGATATAATACTTGCCCAGTTACTACTTAAAAATCTGACTTTTGCCGATATTTATTTCTAAGTACCAGTATTATTAACAGCAGAACGTTTTTATAAATCTGTATTTGTGTTTTATTTTTTATCAATAGTGGTTGCCATTAAAATATAACACTTTATTATTTAAATTAGTCTGATTAATTTATATTTCTACTTCACCCCTAAATTAATCGGAATACTATTTTAAGGGGTTTTGGGGTTTTGGGGTTTTGGGG